AATGTTAAACAGGTAAAAACCAGTGTGCTTGTCAAGGGCGAGGAGTTGAGTCCTGTGGATACAACTGTCTTTTTAGGTATAACCCTGGACGCTAAGCTCCAGTGGGGCCCTCATATAGATGGCTTGTCGAAGAAGCTCAGTTCTGCAGCATATGCCGTTAAAAAAATTAGAAATTTAACAGATGTAGATACAGCGCGGTTAGTTTATTTTAGTTATTTCCACAGCATCATGTCATACGGTATTTTGTTGTGGGGGAATGCTGCTGACATTCAGTCTATTTTTGTTCTGCAGAAAAGGGCTATTCGATCAATCTATAATCTTAGTCCGAGGCATTCGCTCAGAGAATTATTTAAGGAAACTAAGATAATGACGGTTGCCTCACAATATATTTATGAAAATGTAATTCACGCTCATAAAAACAAAAGCTTATTTAAGAAGCATAGTGATATACATAATATTAACACGAGGGGGAAAAACAAATATGTTGTCCCTGCCTCCAGGCTTCAGAAAATAACTAGTTCGTTTAGATGTCAATGTATACGCTTTTACAATAAAATTCCTAGCGATATTCAAAATTTGAGCCTCAATAAATTTAAAAGTGTAATAAAGGCTAAACTTTGCTGTAAAGCATTTTATAAAATAAAAGACTACTTAGAGGATAGTCAGGCATGGGAATGAGCCGCTGTAATGTCTGCACAGGTCATGTTGACATGTTTGTAACATAAGTTACACTTTTATATACAATTTGACATTACGTTTATTTTTTATACAATGACATAATCACCTATTGTGACATTTTATTTTTTATTTGACATTTTTTTTATTTATTTATTGACATTTTTATTATTTTATATTATTGTTAGTGTAAGGACCGTGTGAGACTTGCCGTGCTTTTTGATTACCAGTTATCTGCGTTCTGACAGTTTGAGTACTTGCGCGACCCACCCAAATGTTCTTTAGACCGGTATTGTTCGTCGGACAACTCAGCAGCACTAGCTATACTGGTTGCAAACTGACACTTGCGTGCCTGTCTTCAGAACGGGTCCACTTAAACTGGTGTGGTTCTTTCCTCAAAAGACCACTACAGAATGAACTTGCACGATTCTCTCACATTATGTTATTTTTACATTGTCTGGACTTGAAAAGAGACTGACCTCTGAGTTTGTTTCGGCATTTCTTCTCAGAGTAGTCAGATAGGAAATGCCGGCTTCATCTAGTTTTTCACATATAAATTGACGTGTAAAAGTGCCGTTTTATGGCCTATTTGCAAAAATAAATTCATTGTTTCATTATTTCATTGTTTCATTGTTTCATTGTTTCAATGAAGTTATGCAGTAAATCTGATAATGGAGCCGGAAGACCGTAGAGGGATCTCTTTGACTATTTGGAGTAATTATTTTGTGTTTGGGCTGGAATGATTCGTATTGGTGAGCACTTTGCACCTATATAGATTATGTAACTATGTTGAAGGTCTACATTATACATAATGATGGAGACCATTGACAGTCGAGGGCATTCCTCAACAATTTACAGAACTGAACACTAAGGACTACAACTATTACCGTGATTTTCGGTCTCAAGTAGCCGTCGTCTTCTCATTCGAAACGCATTATCCTTGCTTGCTCTGCATATCACTTAAAATGGTGAAATAAAATAATTTTTAACAAAAGAATTAATTTTCTGTGTACAAAATAATACATGTTTTCATTTAGGTAAATAGAAAATAATATTAATAACTATTTTTATAATCTCGAAGTCGGTGCCAATTAAGTGCCAGGTACCAAGTAAAACAATGATGATTGCTAGGTACCGATCAATACACGTTTCTAATACTGTTGTTGTTTGGTATGTAGCATTTACTTGGCACCTACTGCGAGATTATAAAAATAGTTATTATTATTATTTTCTATTTACCTAAATGAAAAAAAACAAACGACTTCAAAAAGTAAACACAAACAAAAAAATAAATTTTCTGTGTACAAAGTTGTCTACTTCGTAGATTGTTAGAGTGATGTTTATGTTATTTCATATTATATATAAGTATGATTACTGACAATATGAATTAAGTTCAAACACGAAGTAGTTACTATAATCCGTTCAGGAGTTCCCTGTCCTTCGTTCTCATCATCAGACCCTTAATGACAGTTACGACCAAGCCTGGTGCAAAGTGCCAATACGAATCATTCAAGCTCAAACACAAAGCAACTACTCCAAATAGTCAAGGAGATCCCTCGACTGTCTTCCAGCTCCAACATCAGGTCGACTTCGACCTTCGTCAAGTTATAGTGTTGTAAAAGACCTACTTAAACATCATACAAAAGAACTACTCGCCCCTGCAATTATTGAAAGTTCCCCTCGATTTCTCCAGAATTCCATCATCAGATTCTGACCTCATGACAATGGGACTAAATGGCAGGTAAACCCTATCAAATAAAAAAAGAATTTTGCAAATCGGTCCAGTCGTCTTCGAGTAATCGGTGTACATACATAAAAAAAATACGCATCGAATTGAGCACTTACTCCTTTTTTGAACGGGCACGCTACTATAGCAGCGGTAGGACCCCTCTTTGAGGAGTGGCTTGAGAGACGCCACGGCGTCCTCACCTTCCGCCTGACGCAGGTGCTTACCGGGCACGGCAGCTTCGGTAGGTTCCTGTTTCGGATCCAGCGGGAGGAAACGCCCGAGTGTCGTCATTGTGAGGACCACCTAGAGGATACGGTAGAGCATACGGTAGCGGTATGCCCTGCCTGGGCTGAGCACCGCCGTATCCTCAGGGAAGTGATCGGCGGCGGCGACCTCTCGCGCCCGGCCTTAGTCGAGGCCATGGTGCGGAGTGAGAGGAACTGGGACGCCGTCTCCTCCTTTTGTGAAGCAGTCATGCTCACAAAGAGAGAGGCGGCCCGCGTGAGGGAGCAATCCTCCTCCTCACGCCCCAGCAGCCGCAACTGGCGACACTACGGGCGTCGGGGATCGAGGGACGATCTCCGGCCACCGTAAGCACGGGCCTGCGGTCGGCGAGTAAGGGCAGCTCGCCGCCCGACCAGAACCAGGCCCGAGCGTACGGCGCGTAGCGTTCCGCGCGCGCCTCAAAGAGCCATTCGACCACCAAAGACGGGGCCTTAAAGGGCTGATGTTCAGCCGAGGTTGCGGGGTAAGCGCAATGAGGTACCGCGACCTCGGCACAGAGCAGGAGAAGGAACAGGGGGGTTTTTAGTCAGTAAGAGTCTGACACTCCCTCCTGCCCGGCCCTGGGCGGGAGAAGCCATTTGATGATTTTCCCCTCACAAAAAACTCCTTTTTTGAAGTCGGTTAAAAATATAATTGATGTGTAAATAAGTATTGAAATGGATACTTGCGTGTTAAAATACATTATTAAGGTCTAGCGAGCACTGTTCCAAAAGTAACTGAACAACATAAGCGTCAAAATTATATTAACACAGTGCAACATTAAAAATATACTTTGTTAACCTAATTTTGACTTTTCTGCTGTTTACTGACTTTTGATACAATGATGTTCAGCGACATTTGGATTGATGGTGTACAGCGACTTTAGGAATACTATAGTGCACAGATACTTCTGAATTAGTCGTGTTTAACGACTTTTGTAAATTTCTGATGTACAGGCTATTTTGTTTCCTAGTTGTGACTATAACTTATGGCATTTTATTGTGAACAGGTGTTTTGGTAAGTTGATTCTGTTCATCGACTTTTGGAGCTGACTGTACTTATGGCATGGAGGTAATCTAATAAACTCGAGTAATAACTCTGTTTGCTTGTTTAATAAAAAGTGTTGTTATTCTAAATTACTATTAGGGGATGGGAAAATACAAATCGATGGATCCCAAACATGTAGGTATATGCAAAACACAACTATTACGGATAATCTACGACCAAAAAACCAATAAGGTCCAGAAAGAAAAAGGTTTGGCTTATTATAAAAACTAACAAAAGATCATTATAGAAGTCATTGATCAGGATATCCTACTAACATAATAAAGGCGAAAGTTTGTTTCGATAGAAGTTTTTTATTCTTTCGTCGCAAAAACTACTGAACGTATCTTAATAGCACAGAGATGGGTTTTCAAACTGGAATAATAATATGGGTTACTTTTCGCCCTGGTATTAAAGGCGAATTCACTTGCAGAAACTAGTGAAAAATATAACCATCCTTATATGGCAAGATGACTTCACAACCTTGAAAACAAGTGACTACGAAATGGTAATAGCCGAATAGCCGAATGAAGCAGAGAAGAATGTACATTGTACAAATTAACCTCCTCTCTTCACCTTTGTCCGTCACCCACACACATAAAGCTATAAGTACCTATTCAATTCATAAACGTAGACACGGATGCATCGTTCAAGTCCTAACCTATTTATTGTGTAACCAGTAAACTGTGTGCCTGTAAAAAGAATGCATGTTTCTGCATACTCTTCCCGTTGGTCTAGGAAAGTGTAGGAAAGTCATGCTTCGGCACGGATGGGTCGGCTTTACAGGATTGATACCACGGCCTCAACGAAAACCGGCATAAAGCAACGCTTACATTGTGTTACGCCGTGTGAGGGTGATTATCGGAGGCGCTAACCCCACCCCCAATCACATCAATCCCATATCCTTAAATCCCTAATAACCCACAATTATGTATGTAATTTCTTTGGTACCAAGATTGTCCATGAGAGGCGCTGATTGCTTACTAAGTATCAGGTAATGCGCGAATCAGTTCTCTAAATAAACCTGAGCCTTTCAAATTTCCAACTCGCCTTACAAGTGCGGAGATTATTACAAACAGTTTTATACAGAAAAGGAACATAGCTCAGCAGTATTAATGTTGCTGTAAACCACACATACCTACACGCTAAAGAAAACACATTTATCACAAAAGTAAACCTTTCTAAGTAAATTATATAATCTGTGCGATGACCTCATTGATAGTGAATTGCAGGCACTGATAATGTCAATACAGCCAAGCAGTACGGACCGATAAAAAATATAAACTCACTCATTCGTTCACTGACTACCGCGAGGAGCGAGCGTGCGCTCGATTTAAAAAAAGAATAGTGTATTTGTGTGTATGTGTACAAACATGTTTGTGCCAGTTTTGTTTGTGTTTTTCCTTGCGTACGCGCATGGTTTGCAAGTGAATACTACTGAGGGTATTGTTGAAGGATCTAGAGCAGTTGATGGGGATTATTTCACATTTTACGGTGTTCCGTACGCGGGACCAACGTCTGGGCCAAACAGGTTTAAGGTGAGGTACTCTCAGGTCTTATTAAAGTAGGTAGTCGAGTTTACCTGTATGTAGAATGTTGTATGAAGTATGAACGAAGATAAATTCAATAACACGGTGTTTTTTGTTTACATATCATAGAGGTATCTTGTTCTACATTCCCCATAGAAGTAGATAGTATAGTTCGGTTCATCAATTTTCTTAAATTGCATCAAGTATTAGTCCACAAAAAAATCTGTTCTTGCAAAAATCCAAACAATGCTGTGCACCTATAATTTTCTTTCTACCTATGTCGTGGTTTGCTTTTACCAACTGGACATTTAGACCCAGAACAACAATTACGAACAAAGATGAATTCAATGCACCAAACTCCAAGCGAACACCATGAATTCAATGCATCACACTCCAAGCGAACGTCGGCGTTCGCACACTAATTGATGTTCTATTGGTCAGTGGGTCATCTTAAGATTGTGTCTTGAATTACCACGATTGTAAAGTTAAGTACATAATGATTAAACCCCTGATGAAAGATACTGTTTTGGCCCTTCGGGGGAGGAAGAGAGGGGATAGCAGGCGCGAGGTTATAGTAACTCTAAAATTAAATAAAGTATTTTATCAATACACAACACTAAAACCTACCTATTTCGCCATTCTATAAATAGGGACAGAAGTTTGTTTGTTATTTAATTTACATCGTACGGTTTTTTCCTTATCTTGTTTGATTACCTTTTTTATACCTATACGCAAACATCATATGATTTTTGTAAGATACCTACTGACATAACTATACTAGATTTAGCAGACTGATATTTTTATTTGGGGCGGCGTTTAGACACTATCTCTCTGGTGGACCTCTGGTGCGACCTACGATTGAGCACACCTATCCATAAACAACCTACTTGGACCTTAAAGACAACCAGAGGGTCTACCATGACGTATTAAAGCGTCAATCTTCAGGGCGAGAAAGAGGAATGGAGCTATACACCTTTTATATCTCCATCCCTCTTTCTCAGTCATATTATTTACCATTCAGGCAACAAAGATTTCGATACTAATATGTATTTTTTTTTTTTGATAATTTTGGCCTTGTATAATATAATAATAGAATATTTCAGGAAGTTTAAAGTTTTAATTTTCTCTCCACTAAGTACTAATTGTTCTGTGACAGTACAAAGTTTGTACCTTATTAGATATTACATAAGGTGTTAGGTATACTGAAATTAATAGGTCTTTACCTATCAAAATAGTTTTTGTTAGGCTAAGGCTAATTAATTTTGTTTTAAAAATGTGGGATTCTTTTTCCAAAAGTAGTCATTTGTTTATTGATTAGTTACATTTTCATCGCATTTCAAATCAAAAAAAATCCTATTATTATTAAGACCATTGAAAACGGTACGAAGGTTGCTTGGACAGTCAGATACATAATATAATAGGTAATGTTATGATGAGCAGTATATGTTTATACTTAGCCATTATTATACTTACTCTTAGATGCAATCTACTGGATTCTTTGCAATTATAATAATGAAATAAATGAGTCACAAACATTAATAAGTGTCTGACCTGTCAATGGTTATGGTTAGCGTCAATTAAGGACATACCCGGGAATTAAGTTACCTATATCATTTTCATATTATGAATGTAATTCGCCGATAAAGTTTCTATGGTGATCTTGTCATTTTTTTAAAAAACAAAAAAAAAGGATATAAAATGTAATAAATAGGTATATGATTTATATTTGTACATGTTATGTTTTTTTACTTAACTTTTTTTATTAATACCTATTGTTTCGGTTTCAAAACAAAATTTGACAGAAATAAAGACAGTATTTGTCCTTCATTCCCGCCAAAACAACAGATTGCTGCCAGTAATATATAGTCACAACTGCGCCAAAATAATCAAAATATTTAATTTGAATTCAGAACGCGTCTACTACAAAGATCGGATGCTAGTCACTGTTACCAAGTCAAGAACACATACACTCTTTTTATTAGGAGAAAATCATTAATTGTCTTCTCCTACCCTGAATGAGGAGAGAGGGAGTGTTACTGACAAAAACCACCCATTCCTCCTTTTTCAAAGCCAGATAGCGGTGCATTATTGGGCTCAAACACCCGCAACTCAAGCTGGAATACACACGTTCATTTCATATTTTGATGCCTGTGCTGTTGTTCTAGTAATCGTGTTTTAAAATAGATTTTTGTTTAGAAAATTCTGCGACCTTTTTTCCTTACTTCTTTCTATATTTACCGTGCCCTATGTAATTATAGCAAGACTGTCACACAACGTCGTGGTGGCCGGGGGTTAAGGCCCACTTCTCATGCATAAGGCTGCGGGCTCGAAACCTAGCAAGTACCAATGTGACTTTTGCCGAGTTAAATAAAAAAAAACATCGTGACGAAGCATGGACTTATAATTTCTAAATATAAGTTTGAAATCGCCACTTCGCCTTGAGCAAGCATAGTGATTAATGCTCAAGCCTTCTACGTGTGAGAAGAGGCCTTTGCTCAGCAGTGGGTACTTATAGGCTGATGATGTGATATGAGTGATGTGTATTTCACACAAATTGCCCAAGCATGTTCTAGATTACATCACTAGGCTTACCATTATCACTTAACTACAAGATTAAATAGGCAAACTAAGGTAACATTGCTTAATTCTCTATACATAACTTTATCAAAGAGACAGTAAACAGAAACTGCTTTGTCAATACAAACACTCCTGACAGAATCAATTTACACAATAATTATCAGCGGACACACGTAATTTTTACACAAACAGATACAGCGAATATACCCTTTAGATCAACTCAGTAATTGTTTCACGACACACAGAATTTGATTCGATTGGCAATTCGAGACACAATAGATTTAATGAATATAAAAAAGAACAAATTAGTGTCCTTTCGAAGTTTTCAAATTTCAAACAACATGTTCTTTTTTTTGTCTTTGAATGGCAACCGACATCAGCAATGTACAATTAGAAAATATAAGTCCAGGTTTCCTCACGCGAACTTATGGTAAAAGAAACATTATTACTGACTATTACTTAGACACCACTGTGTCTAAATTGCCGCGGTTGCGGGGTAAGCGCAATGAGGCACCGCGACCTCGGCTCAGAGCAGGAGAAGGAACTGACCGCCCGGCCCTGGGCGGGGGAAGTCATTTGATGATTTACCCCTCACAAAAAAAAATGTGTATAAATTATCATATCGAATAAGTCTGATACATTCTTGTCAAGTTTCGGATCTGCGCCCTCATATATGTATTATGAGAAGCGGATGCCTTAACTTCGGGGCCAACCATCATGACTTCTCCCGCCCTGTGTGAGGCGAGAATGAGTGTCAGACTCTTATTGACTCAATGTCACCCCGTTCCTGCTCCGTGTTGTCCACGGTATGTTATTCCATTCGTGCCGAAGCATGGCTCTCCCACACTCTCTTAACCATTTACTCATAGTTATTGCTATATCAACTCAATTCCTAGTTCAGCAATGAAGCAAAAACCTGACAATTGAAACTCTTTATCGACTGCAATTAGATCTAAATTGCAATGTTAAATCTATCCCATGTCATCAAGGTGGTCCTAATTTGTAGCTAGCCTAGTTTGTGCTAAATACTGGTTCGATTTGTGTCAACGCAATCTGTCGGGATTGGATCTAATTTCCATATCATGAAGAACTATTTAGCTGTCCGTATGTTTTACTTTGTCCCTTTAATCTATACTTAAATATAGTCATGGCTTATATTGTTAAAATGATCATCAGAAGACTACCATAACACATTGAGTTAAGGGATCAAATAATTCAATTATCATAAACAGAAAAAAAAACACAGAGAATTTATGTGTGGGAGAGCCAATCTTCGGCACGAATGGGTCGGCTCCACCGGAGTGATACCACGGCCTCACAGAATACGGGCGTGGAACAACCCACAGTGTTGTGTTTTGCCGTGTGAGTGAGCTTATCGGAGGCCCAATCCATTCCCTTCCCCTATATATCCTTTCCCGATCCTTATATCCGCAACCCCTATCCCCAAAAGGCCGCACTCGTAACTCCTTTGGGTTTGCGGGTGTCCATGGGCGGCGTCGATTGCTTACCATCAGGTGATCCGACTGCTCGTTTGCCGACTTGTACCATAAAAAACAGATGTCCCCAATTGTACAGTCTCTTTTTTGCCTTTGAGGCTTAGGTATGTAAGTCTTTCTGTCTCCTGCATAAAATTTACCGAGGGAAGTGGAAACTACTTTGTTTTTTCTTCTCCTCAAATAATATCTTCTGATTTATGACTTCGGATTTAAGACAGTCATTCATGTCTCTGGGACGCACCGGACTTCAGTGTTCCGGTGTTTTCATGGTTGTAGATCCTGGCTTTTAAGGGGTTATGGCAGGCTTTTTCTAATAAAAAACAATTGGAACCTGTTTGCTTTGCGTACTGAACGTGTATTTCAGAAAAGGCCGTCAACTAACGATACGTATGTATAGACTAGCGGCTTGCCCCGACTTCGCACGGGTAGCAATAAAAGTAGCCTGTGTTACTTAGTGTGTATAAGGCTTTATAATGGTGTAAGATTTTTTTAAATAGACCCCAGTATTTGAGTTTATTCAATACAAACATACACTTATACACACTTACAAAAATAAATAAAATTCTCTTATTAATGTACCTTTATTATGTACAGATTACTTTACAACGTACTGTCTCATAATTTCACAATATTTAGTTACTACAATTTCATAATCGAATATGAGAAACATAACAACGATGTAGGGATCAAACTAAACGTGTCTATTAAATTTGAATTAATTATTAATAAAAAGCTATTTAGATAAACCGTTGATAAATACTTAATTGTTTGGTAAAATTTATAAATGCATATAACATTTAGGATAAAGGCCTTTTTAATTAATAAATAATGATATAACATGTTTATTATTTCCTATTATGCTCGTATGTATTTTTCGTTGATGCACATCAGTACTCAATAATGTGATTTCTTTAGTTAAAAGCGAATAAGAATCCAACCCAGCCTATTCCTATGTCACGAGCGTACGCCGATTAGCGATCCGCATGCGCCTCAAAGAGCCAATAGATCACCGTAGACGGGGCCCTATAGAGCCGATGTTCAGTCGGGGTTGCGGGGTAAGCGCAATGAGGCACCGCGGCCTCAGCCCTAAGCAGGAGAAGGAAAAAGAGGGGGGAATAAGTAAGAGTTTGACTCTCTCTCCCGCCCAACCCTAGGCGGGAAAAGTTATTTGATGATTTTCCCCTCTATAATTTCAAATAGCTTTCCTTATAATTTCAAACCTCAGAGTGTCCTGGCTGATACGATTATTTAATTTATAAGTAGCGTTTGTTGGTTGGAGTACTGTTGAACTAGGAACGGTCCTAACAAAAAATAAAAGGACATTGTACGACATAGACATATACCTAATGATTTTTTTATATATAAATAAAGTTATTCTATAATGTATACTATTACTTCTCCTGTAATATAAAACTTACCTAGTACAACCATTCTAAATGTGGGTTTGCTACTTCGACCATTTTTTTAAATAAATAAGGAATATAAAATCATAAACGAATAATATCAGTGTTCTCAATCAGTCAGTTCAGTTGTACATATATGTATATAGTTTAAAAATATTAAATCATATTGATGAATACACAGGATATGACTGAAGAAAGTCAAAGTCAAAATCATTTTTTCCAACTAAACCATAAATAGGTACTTTTGAAACGTCCAAATACATAGAAAAGTACTCTGTCAGTCTGTTCGTCAGTGAAGCTAGGTTTAATTAAGTAAATTAAATTTTAAGAAAATTATTTATTGAGATTTCAACAATGCGTAAACGAAATTCTTGAAGAAAAAATGACAAAATCCATTCCTTCATTCAAAATGATCGTGGTTTGTGGCGGAATCAACTAAAAACAACTGATACTGATAAGGAAATATTATTGATCATAAGACAGCGAATCAATCGTTCATAAAATTAAATATGCTTCTTATCGGACACATTATCATGAAGATATCTTTTCAAAAATATAACAGATAAATTGTATACACGGCAACATATCATAGCTATGATAAAGCAGTGCTAAACTGAACTGTTATATTACAAATTCATAAGGATGAGACAAGCGACCTTTATTTTACTTGGGATATTAATTAAATTTTTTCAACAATAATTACAGATACTGCAGCAATTATGTACCTAGTTGCATAATTTCTTAAAACTGTACTATACTTTGGTAGCTGTCTAAAATTCCTTCCGATCCGCTGAACAATGAAATTAAAGCACAATCAGTAAATAATCAATAGTCAGTAAAAAATCCGGGAAGCAATCAAACAAAACTTGGTCACAGTTAACAAGCTTGTTTATCAAAAGTGTTGCTGTTCTGCTAACATGGTTCACTTACTACATAAGTTTCCATAACAATCTTCCATGGATTCGCGGTATTACCATCGAAGGAGTCAGATTTTTTTACACTGGGTGAAGTAAAGTATAAGATTCTTATTATGATATTAACGTACTTTCAATACATATACCGAATTAGGATTCGAAAGTTTTTTGAATAGTCCGTCAATTATTAAAAATATTACCATAACACTTTATCATATTAAAAGTATATTACGAAGATAAAACTTATCGTCCAAGCTAGTGTCGTACTTTATAAGCATAGGTATAAGAAAGTTGTTTGCATTCCTTATCTTTAGAAATGATGGCCGCACCTTGTTGTTAACTGATTCCAATTTTGTAATGTACCCTGTTTATTTTCCAGGCGCCGATTCCCCCGAAACCTATCCCTGGAGTGCTTCGAGCTACCGACAGCAATATATTCTGCGCACAGCCATCGTCTCGAGGCCTCATTGGAGTCGAAGACTGCTTGACACTGAGCATCTTCACAAGAAACGTCACTTCACCAAAACCAGTAATTGTCTTCCTCAACTCCGATGAGTACACCAATACAAACAACCAGCCCATATCCTACAGAAGACTCGTAGAACAAAATATTGTTTTTGTGACATTAAATTTCCGATTGTCAGTTTTCGGATTCCTTTGTCTCGGTGTCCAAGAAGCACCTGGAAATGCAGGCCTAAAAGACGTGCTTCAAGGACTGAAATGGATCAAATCGAATATCGCAAACTTTGGAGGAGACCCGAATAATGTAATTCTTTTGGGACATGCATCTGGTGGAGCAATGGTCGATCTCCTCACGCTATCTCCTCAAATTGAGAATCTAGCGCATAAAGCTATAGTACTCAGTGGGTCTGCGCTAGCTCCGTGGGCTGTTGCCTACGATCCTGTTGGATACGCCAATCTTTTAGGAACTAAACTTGAGTACGAGCACAAAACTCCCGAAGTATTAGCAAAGCGACTTAGTAATACTGACATTAACGTTCTACACACTGCATTGAACGACTTCAAGTTCTTCAATAACACGCCATTGTTCGCACCTTGTGTTGAGAATCCGAAGCTAAGCCCCAACCACACAGTTTTGCCTGACGCTCCAATCAACATCCTGAGATCAGGCAAATACGTTCACATTCCCGTCATTTACGGATACACCAACAGAGAAGGAACAATGAGGGCCGAAGAAGCTGACTTTGGAAATTGGTTGACCTTAATGCAATCCAACTTCACAAGTTTCCTACAGGTTGATTTGAAATTGAATAATAACAAAACAGCTGTGGCAGCGTCCATTCGTGATTTCTATTTTGGTAGTAGTCCAATTAGTATGGGCACTATCGAAGACTTTTTGGATTATCAAGGTGACACACTAGTCCTTATTTCCACAATCAGAGGGGCAAAGGAAAGGGCTTTAACTTCCAAAAGCGAAGTGAGATTAATGGAGTTTGCTTATCTAGGGACTCTGAACTCTAATTGGATTCACAACCAAATTCCTCTAAGTGGGGCTGCACATGGTGCCTTCCTCAACTATCTGTTTGGTTATGACCTACGTCCCGCTGATGAAGCAGTGAGCAGGGCACTCGTGGGACGGGTGTCAGCTTTTGCCTACAATTGGTAAGATATCCTTTTTTAAGATATTACACACATTTTTATATAATTATTCATCCTAGCGACCCGACCCGACTTTGCGCGGGTGCAGTGCTGATACAAAATGTCTCCACTATCATTAGTTAATGTTATTACAGATATAAACGATCCTCTTCAGTTACTCTATTAATTAAAAGAAAGAGCATACAAATCCGTGGCGTTGTTTAAAGACTTAAGCATACATAGGGACAGAAAAAGCGACTTTGGTTTATACTTTGTTCTGATGAGTATAATTTCCTGCTCTTCAATGTAGACCTCGTCATTAGATTCACAGCAGAAATTAACTTGATTATTAAACATTTTCAGGTCAAACAATACATGGGCGGCCATTACAAAAGATGCGACTAATTACCTCTACTACGGTGGCAATGGAGCTCCGACTGCCAACAATACGTCGATCTACGTGGAAGAACCCAGGTTCAACCCCCATGTACAGCGTATGTCCTTCTGGGGCAACCTGTATGAGAAGTTTTACGTTGCCCCTACGCAGCCCAGCTCATCAAACATGATCGTCAGCTCTTTATTATTTATAATGCTCTGTCAAATGACACTGCGTTTGTTTTAGTTTAGATTATTGCCAATTTCAAATGTACGTATCAAAGGGATGATAAAATATACAATCATCCTCTATTTAGTCGATTAGAAAATGTAAGTTTTAAATGGAAACTAGTTAGATTTCAAGTATTAAAGTTAAGATTTAAATTTCAAATATAATTAAATAATGTGATACGCTATATTTTTAGGTTTTTAAACCAAAAATACTGCCGCTTATTTTAGAACTAGCTTTTGTTCGCGTGGAATAGTGACTTATTTCAGATTTTTGGTTTATAAACTATCTTATGTCCTTTCTCGAGTTGCAAACTATGTCTGTACCAAATTTTATACAAATAGGTTCAGTAGTTTAGGCGTGAAAAAACAGACAGACAGACGGAGTTACTTTCGCATTTATAATATTAGTTTGGATATTAGTTTGGATTGTTTAATAAACTTATGCAGCTAAGAAGGTTAACGCCTACCTTTGATCTTTGATCGACAAATATACAGTCGTTACAAGTATTTTCGTCGCCATATTTTATTTAGTAAATTAGGTTCTAAGTCCGTAATTAATTAAGGAAAGTGATTGAAGTCTTACGAAGAGGACAAATACAATTTATGGAGTCCATCTTGTTAAAAAATATTACAATAATGATTACATCGACAGATATGTATAAATTAACGGCTTGCGTCTTTTAAAATGTTTAATAAACGGATTATGTATAAGTTTAGTTTGCATTTATGATACATTTTGTAACTTTTTTACTCAACCTTTAGTGCGTAAAATATCAAAAAGGTTTGTTTTCAAAGACTGAATTTGGACTCGATGTTTTAACTATAAGATTAATAACATTAAAGTTTCTAGCCAATATCTATCTTATTATTAACCATTACTAAATATACCAGAGTGATTACGGCTAAGGAAAAGATAATAGTAGAAAAAGTAAATTCTTCCTTATACCATGTTTCAAGCAAAGCCTGTAAGTATTAATTATTTATAAAGTCTTTTATATTAACCAATTTACTATTACTGAGTTTATCATTATTGTCGATGCAGATGTTGGTAATTGGGTAGTTTCCTAGGTCAAAAATAAATTAATTTGACGTTTCTATACAATAAAATATTAAAAAATAACTATACTTTTATTCATCGATCGATCGATACACTAAGTTTTAGTTTTTTTTTAGCTAATTATTAAGAAATAAGTAAGCTATTTGACGCAAAAATGTTATGACGTCATAACTCAGGTTTCCATACAAATTTCATAGAAAAGTATCGGTTTTGACGTTTGGATAAAAGTATTGAATCTGACTAGTTGGAAACTACCGTATTGAAATGTCGTGGTGGTACAGGTCGTTGGTAACTACCAATATTTTAGTTAGTAACAGCTCTGTATAATTATCCTATAAAGACACTATTGATATTCAGTGAAAGAAAACTTGTGAGAAAACCTGAATCTGTATTTTTCTTGCTTCTTCATTTAGCAGTGGGCTTTTATTGCTGATATATATTTTTCTCCTGGTATACATTATAGTTTTCTCATGATGTTTTCCTTCCCCGTTTGTCAGAGGTGTCTAAATAAATTAAGAAAGTACTCTCACATTTTTACTTAAAACCAGCACCCTCAAGTATTAAAAGCAAGGCCTCATCCTTTTTACGATCAGTATTTAAACAAGCAAAACCTATACGAATTAACATTAATTGTTCCAAAAGGCTGCACATCAAGCTATAAAAACCAGGTTATCTTGGCCTCTTACTGCTTGGCGTTTTAGCACATTCAACGGTCTATTACTTACCGGTTTTTCACAGCTTACACTTAAAACTATCAAAACCTATTCAATACAAACTCTTTTTAATATTAATAAAGTAAACTAGTGTTTATATATACCCGGGTCTTTCGTATTTCGGGATCGGGATCCTAACACTCATTCATGTCCTTGGGACGCGCCGGACTTCAGTGTTCCGGTGTTTTCGTGGTTGTATCTATTGTAGATCCTGGCTTACAGGAGTTGCAGCGGTTTTGGGAGGTTGCGGCGGGCTTGTCCCATTGAAAAAAAATATACCCGGGTCTGAGTATGGCGAATTATTTTCATGTGCCTTTGCATTTTTGTGATAATGGCTAATTCGAATTAAATATTTTTATTTTACGCATTCACGTTACTTTCTAAGGCAATTAGAATATCATAGTCGCGCATAGGAATACCTACTGATAAATTTCTCCCGCCATTACAAAACATTTTTAATTTAAGGACTACACTATTCAGAAGTATGTTGAAAAATAAATTAATTTCTTTCTTTCTTTCTTTCCTTGTACCATAATGTACTTATTATTATATTTTATAGGACCAAGCCTGTGAAAGAAAATACCGAAGCTGGTATGTCAACATAATATCAAGTTTAGGAGTTCGGTAATAAACAGATGTCACCGTTTCCCCAAAGGACAAAGGATTTAAGGTCTAAAAACAGGTGAACTGAAAGGTCCAATTTCGTTGAAATGTTTTGTCGAGGGAATTTCAGTTCAGTACCTTGTTTCGTAAGATGTAATATTGTTTGTCAAAATCTTACATCGTATTAACGAAATACAATAAACGTAAACCTATTTTTTGTTATATGTTTTCTCACATTATTCTTAATAACTGACTGGGTATGTTTATAGGCTATAATATTCGTATTGTTAAAATGATTTTAATGAAATTTCGACAAATAAATAATTAGATTCGGCTTCGAAACATATGACTTGAATAAAAAAAACTAGCTACTTCCTCTAGGCTCTATTTGATTCTAGCGTGATGTTTTATAGCCTATAGCACTCGGGAATATTGTAGCTATCAAAAAATGAAATAATTTTGGGAATCCGACCAGTGGTTCCTAAGATTACCCCCTACATACAAACTTACGAATTTTACTTCTTTATAATATTATTACTAGCTACTCTCACGCGGTTTTACCCGCTGCTCTGCTCCCTTTGATAGTAGCGTGATGTTTTATAGCCTATAGCACTGAGGGGCATTGTAGCTAACTATCAGTGAAAGAATTTTGGCAATCTGACCAGCGGTTCCAAAGATTACCCCCTACATACAAACTTACAAATTTTACCTCTTAGAATATTAGTATACATTAATTAATTAATATTAAGTATATCAAGTATAGATCTATCTAGAGTCTTTAATATAAAATATATTTATCTAACTTGACTCAAATACGTTTGCATACTAACACAATTAATTACTAAATGGATATTAAATACTTACCACTTAGTTAAGTTACCAGTTCATTATCAGTTGTTACCAGTCTAAGTTCACAAGATGTATAGATTCTAAGACAGTTGCAGCAAACTTACCTGTAAAGAAAAAAAAAGAATTATTTAAATAATTTAATATTAGTTTCTTTTAGTTTTAATGTCATTCACACAAGACGTATATAACCTTATACATTATACTTATTATTTAAAACCTTAACCTTGCCAACGTATTGGCAATAGTACCTAATATTGATTGGCAATCGTAATAAACGTGCCTGTAACTTTTGGTTTGTATTTAAATAGTAATTTATACAAGCAAAGCCATGAACAAAATCTAGACTTTAATTCTAAAAAACTCTCTCACTTCTAAATAATAGTATTTATAGAAAAAAATAACGTTTGAAGGTTAAATTCCCTTGAGATATAACGTTGTTGTGTTCTTTGCGTGCTTGTTTTACTAACAATACCTAGTTTTAACCCAATGCCACACGTTAGAAATAGGCGAGTAGGTACTGGTCGACCACTTAGCTGAGGTGACTGGGTGACAGCCTAACTTTAGAAGATGTATTGTAGTACCGGGTAGCTTAATTGTAGTTTTATACGAAATGTTTTATGTTGTTTTTGCATTTATCTAGACAAATACCTATTACAAATAAATTTTGATGATTTTCAAGACAATTATATTTCGTCGCCGCTCGACCAGAACCAGACTCGAGCGTTCAAAGAGCCAATAGACCACCACAGACAGGCTGATGTTCAGCCGGGATTGCGGGGCAAGCGCAATGAAAGGAAGAATGAAGGAACGGGAGTGGGGGGAGGGTTTAGTCAGTAAGGATCTGACTCTCTTTCTCGCTAAACCTTGGGCGGGACAAGTCATTTGATGATTTTCCCCTGACAATAAAAAAGTATATTTTGTTAAAGATAACACATTTTACACAAGCAAACACTTAACATCAGTTAACTACTCTGAAACAAAACACTGTTTACTACATTTTGAACCTTTATTGTAAAATAATAATACTGAAAATCGAGTAACGACATTTGGCATAAGAGAACTTTGACGTGCCAAGCATTTATGGTTGTGTTGGCACTACTCACCAAAGTGCCTTCGCCTTTGAAAAGTAAATTGTTTTGTCTCTGAGCTGTGGAGCGGAGGTAATGGCGGGAAACGAACCTATTTATAGTCTAGACTTGAAATAGGTCCTAGATATACGACTTAGGGTATATTATGGGGGTATGTCATAGACATCTTGTTTTGTAGTGTACATATGAATACGAAAACTTTTTTTTTTCAGTATAATATTTGGCTTTTAAAATGTCGTGGTGGCCCGGAAGTTAAGGAGCCCGCTTCTCATGCATGAGGGTTTGAAACCTGGCAAGTACCTATGTGACTTTTTCCGAGTTACATGTACTTTCTATGATTATTTAGACATCACTAACATACGGTGAAGGTAAACTTCGTGAGGAAACCTGGACTTATAATTTCTAATTATAAGTTTGAAATCGCCAACCCGCATTGAGCGAGCGTGATGATTAATGATCTAACCTTCTCCGTGTGAGAAGAGGCCTTTGCTCAGCAGTGGGCACTTATAGGCTGATGATGATGATTAGGCTTTTAATATTAATTCCGTAATATTTAGACTAGGTGAATGAAAAATAATTAATGAATAAAATATGTTTATTCGACATAAGACATGAACGCCAATAACAAAAAAAAAGTTAAAAAAATACAATAAAAAGATACTTTTAGTTATGTTTTGTTACTGGTGAACAATATTTACAGACATTGAATTAAAAATCTTGATTTTCTTTGTTGAAAAATTCGACAACGGATCCATATTGTCAAATTTTGACATGTGATAACTGACAGCAACAGTACCGCAATTCGTGTGACAACTGACAACTGATGCCATTTCCCATGTTTAACAGAAAACAGATATAATTCATAAAAGAGGGTATGTCTAAATTGAACCTTATGATTTAAACATAATATTCAGAATTCAAATACCTTCTTTCTCAGTTAAGCCTCTTTTCTATTAATCATACGATTTTTACACATTCGAAGCGAAAATATAAATCCAGATACGGTTCAGGAAATTAAATCGACCAGCGAAGTAGTGCAACAGTTCAGTTTGATTTA